CTCTAGTTTTCTATTTCAATCAAGAATTCAAGTAGCATCTTGACTTGTATATAATACCTCAGCAGCAAAATCATGGAATGCTGACATCCTTAATAATAGCAATTAGTAATCAGTTGTTTCCTAAGTAGTTTGATTACGCCAGTTACCAAATTGTACAGTTGCTGCATTTGGGGACAAGAAGGGTCTTGCCACTCCTCCCCCAGTCATCCTGTCTCCTTTCCTGCGTTCTTGGAGGTTAGTGAGCTGATAGGCATTGAAAAGAGGTGAGGACAAATAATGCAGTTGTTGCTAATATTAAAACACAGTAAAGACTTGCCCCTAGCAGAAAGTAGAATGAAATATTTCTTTGCAGAAAGACAAACCCCAGTGGTGTCCATGGAAAGGTAGTCTATGCTCACTCGGCTGAGTGTTAGCAAAAGACCTTGGCTTCCCCATGCCAGGCACGGCACCCACAGATAGAGGTCCTTCTCAGGGCTAGGACCCCGTGCCAGGCTCTAGACACCAACAAGTGTTAGGCAAGGTCCTTGCCCCTGGGGAGGTTGTATTTGAGTTTGAAATAATCAGTGGGTACATAAAATTAGCCCAGCAAGGCTGTGTGACTTAGTAACTAATGGAGACTGAGAGCGTGATGCTCTCACGGAGGGAGGAGGGGAGGCTGCAGGGCAGGGTGGGCAGAGGCAGCCTTCCAGCAGAGGCGACCCCTGCGCAGGGTCTGGACGGATGCGGTGGCCTAGGGGAACAGAGGAAGCGCTCACATGCCCCGGGATTTGGGTGTAGCCCTTGCAGGGAGGTTTCTGTTGGAATGGCGGCTCCGTCCTGTTCTGCTCACCACACGTGCGTGCACACACGTACACACACACAGACCATGCCCCAGGGCCAGAGTTCCTCACGGTGGGGCAGTCCAGAGCTGGGGAGAGATCATGGCGTGTCTGACTGGCTGAGTGCCTGTTAGTGGCTGCTCTTTCTTCCCAGCAGCCCGCAGGGCATCTCAAGTCCATCCTTGCAGGAGAGCAGGTGGCTTCCCAAGGGCACAGGTGAGTTGCGTCTTTAGGGGAATCCTGACTGATGACCATTCTCCTGCCTCACGCCTGCCACTGGCCATGCAGGGAGGGTCATTCTGCACTTTGCCCCATAATATAATGGGGCTAAAATTTTAAGTTCCTCTGACCCCTGCCCTCATCAAGGGGCATATGTCCACCTGAGGGGACTTCTCCAGAAAAAGCCGTTCCCACCACTATCTTGGCTGGTCCCGCTTGTTCTCTATGCTTTTATGGTGATGCATTGAAATAAATTATTATTATTTTTTCTGTTCTATTTGGTTGGAGTAATCAGTTCACAGACCAAGGAGCATGGGGAACCAAGGAGAGATGCAAGGTCCTTGTGTGTTCATGTTGACAAGCAGACAGAATTCTTACTTTCTTTGTCTTATTTTTGCAAATTGACTTCTTTTGACCAATATCTGGAATTCTGTCAATGCGAGCTGTCTTTGGGATGGAAAACTTTTCCTCTCTTCTCCCCAAAATGACTTTGCCAGCATGACCCTTGGCTCTCTCCCCTCCTGGCCTGGGGGCCCTCTCAGCTCTAGCCCCTCGCCTGATCCAGCCCTGTTTTCTCGCGCATCACCGCTCCTCCATCTTCACTTCCTCCTCTCAAGGAGGTAAATTCTGTACAGGGTCCGTTCCCAAGATGGGCTGCATTTCAAGGTATTGCCATAAGTTCTGACCACTCTTCAAACATTCTAAAGACCCCCACGTATATATTTGAATCCAAATGGCTCTTGTTCCTATCAGGGGTGTTCCCCAAGGACTCACGCTAACCTTGAGAACGAGCTCATTGGCTCCCGCACTCCGCATAAAGGAACCCACGATCCATCTCAGGCTGCAACAGTGAGTCTTCGGGATCATGTCCTTAGAGATGTGAGGAGACGGAGAGACCTCAACAGAGATCCGAGCCGAGGTTTCCCAAAGAACGTCTGCAAACCCCCAATTCCCCTGGCGGCGAAACCACACTGAGCCTTTCATATTGCCGTGTGCCGGTCTCTGAGAGGGTGATTCATCAGGGAACATTTCCCAAGCTCATTCTGCCATTGACCTCTGTTGGGAAGCGCTAATTGAAGCTCATGCCCCAGCTAATAAGTAAGGGCACTGGCCCAGAGAGGGAAAGTGACTTCCCTGAGGTCACAGAGCTTGTGGGTGGCAGAGCCCAAGCTTCCCTCTGGAGTATCACGTACCAAAGTCTGATCTTCTCCAGGCACCTGACAACCTGCCTGTGGTGACATCAGCTGGGCTGTGAGCTCCCGGGATGCAGTCATGTGTGTTATTCCTATTTATATTCTCTACTCTCCATCCTGCCAGGCACACAGCAGAGGCTCCATCCCCCTCACAGCCCAGATCCCTCCGTTTTCTGTCTCGCTCAGTGGCGCTCTCCTGCACTCGTCACCAAGATCTTCTTGTGGAGCTGTCCACGCCTTTCTCATCTTTGTCGTGTATCTTTGTGGCTACCCCACTCTCTCCGTTTAGACTCTTGTCCTCTCTCATCTGGGTGACAGCCTTCAGTTGCCTCCTAACTGGACTCTCCTACACTTTCCTGTCTCCTTCATATCCTACCTTCACACGTTAGCTAGAGCGGCAGACCCAAAATGCGAGTCTGACCAGGCTGCTCCCTCCGGCCTCGGGTTCAAGGCCAGCCTGCTTTCCTGTAGGAAAATCATTGGTAATGAGGTGTACCCCAGGGTCACATGCTTATTCCTTCCGCGTACACTCATCCTGCAATGAAGACAACCTGGGAAAAACTCAAGTCCTTCAAATACGCCATCAGCACCGAATTGTTCTTGCCCTGAACAGTGGCTGTTCAGTAGGGAGAAGTATGTATGGATACGATTTCGAACGAATGGGTTCATCGTGGGATGGAATGTAACACAAATTTCATTGGTTTCGAGCATTCAGTAAAGTGGTGGGGACAGTAAAGTTTGTGCAGGGCCATGTGAAAGTAATGTGAAAAGAAATGATATTTTAAATCGGGGATTTTAAATACACAAATCCCCACCAGCAGGGACAGGTTTGTGAAGGGGGATGTGAAGAGAGGGCGCTTGTTCCAGTGGGAATCCCGGCAGAAAGCAGATGGTGCGACTGCAGGGCGTAACAAGGTAGGCAGGGTTCAGGAAAGCCAGGGAGAGGTGGCCGCAGCCACTGTGGGAGCCCCATCCCTGTGTCTGCAGGGCAAGTCGGGAGCTGCTGGCCGGGAGCTGAACCATGAGCACAATGATGAAGCCAAATTGCAGCAGCGACCTGGCAGGGAGGGGTCCCTGGAGCAAATACCCTGCCCTCCCCACTCCTTCTAGCACCTTCCATGAGCTGCACCCAACAGGAGTCAGAGGGCATAGGGTGGGTTGATGCAGTTCATAAGGTCAGCCTCCCGGGCGGCACAGGGCGGGGTGCAGGGTGGGTCTGGAAGGCAAATGCAAAACGTACAGCTCAGCACTTCTGGCCAAATGGCAGCTTATGGGTGCCAAGTCCCCATCCCATACACGGCCCAGTGCAGTCTCCTGGAGAGCGGGGGTCCCAGGCGCTGTCTCAGAGCTGAGGTCAGAACAAGGGCGTGTTGCTCTTTAGGCTCCTGCCTCCTGGGCCCTCACCCCAGAAATGAGGAAAACCAAGGAAAAGAAGAGGAAGCAGGAGATGGTTTCTCCCTAAAGCCTGAAGCAGTTTGCTTAACGCCCCAGTGAGAGGCAGCCAGTGAGTGCACCCAAACCAGGGAGAGAAGCATGCTCACCCTCGTGGAAGTTCCCATCTCTCATCTTTGGTGCATGAAAGCGCCACTCGCTAGCACAACTGTCCCATGCATGTTCCCCCTTGGTGCACTTCCTCAGTGTGAGCATGCCTTCGTGCATATGTGTGTGCGTGTGCATGTGTGTACGGGTGTGCATGCATACGTGTGTGTGGAGAGGGAGTCTAGTGGGTGGAGAGAAGCCCTGAACATCAAGACTGACATTGCGGAGGGCGCATCTGACCAGCTAGAGAACAGCACCGTGTGGTGAAGTCTCAGGTCTGGAAAGATATTTTCAGCAAATATGGCAAAGGGATTATATAGATGTTATGTAAAGAAGTCCTACAAAACGACAAAAAAGATAGAAAAGAAGTGGGGAAGACACTGTCCGAGACCCGAATGGACAAATCACACATGAAGAGGTCCACAAAGAAAAACAAAACCCTATGGACAAGACTGAGCATGAAGAAAGGATGGGCGAGCAGGCGGTGGAGAATGAGCAGGGCGCACTTATTAAACTGGCGATTTAAACATGACTGTTCCTCACCAGTTATGTCTGGAGTGTCGTGCGGCACGTGCACTCAGAGGGTGCAGTCAGAGGGAACAGAAATCCTTTCGGAAAACACTTTGGAAGAATTTCTCTCCTTATTCTGGTAGTATTGCTCCTAGGAATTTATCCTAAGGATATAACCCTGAATTAGAAAAAAAAAAGCCATATGCATGCTAATACAGAGGCTAATTACTGCATTATCGATAGAGGTAAAAATGCAAACAAAGATTCCCCACTCTTCAGCATTTGGTTTAAGTATTTTGTGATTAATCTCCTCCATAGGTGATTGAAATTAAGGAGACACTGTAGCAAGGCGGAAAATACTTTAGATATATTGACTAAACAGAGCAGAGCACAAAATCATATCTATGAGGTGGTTATAAGGGGGAAATTTGCACATGCAAATAGACTAGCTTGGAAAAAAGTGGAGAAATGAACACAGGCAGGGCGTTAGGATGGTGGGGCCGTGGATTAATTTCTTTCTTTTAAAATTCTTTTCTATTGTGCTGTAATTGTTGCCTTTTTAACACACCTGGATATATACAATATATATGAAACGGATATCTGAGTACATATCATCTGCCTTTTTCAACCTTTTGCCCTTCCCCTCCGGGAATGACCCACCCCTTACACACGCACACGATGGGTAATTTGGTTTCAAAGGCAGCAGATTCATTCCGGTTACCTAGGAGCACCCCGGGGGGCAGCTGAGCCGATGGGTCTTTCATCCAGTCGTCGTTGGCCATTTCGATGATGGCGTCCACCTGCTCCACTTCAGTGCAGAGCAAGTCGCTCACTCTCTCCTCGTCGCTGGCATCCAGGGCGGACTTTAATCTCTTCACTAAATCTGAGTCGAGTGGGTAGTCGGGAAGGCAGTCAGCGCTGGCCATCGTCATGTCGTTTGTGTGTTGACCCAACTTCTTCTCTTCCTCTCAAGTGAGTCCAAAGTTAGCAGCTGTGCGGCGAGTGGTGTGGGCATTGCTATAAATAGAAGGAACTGGCTCGGGTTACAGCTGGTGAGGAGGGTCATTGGCTGGCGGCCCATTTCCTCCCAGGGAGATAGGAATTAATGTCCCTGAAGGCCTCAGTTAAGGATTATCCTAGAGATGGGGGCAGTAGACACGTTTGTGAGTAGCTGAAGGAGAGGGGACAATGTTTTAAAAGCAAACTCTCATAAGTACGGTTAAATAATATCATCTTTTTATCAAAAGCAAGACTCTAACCTGAAACTTTAGAAAGCTTTTCTGAAGACTGGGCTTGGAACCCCTGTTCTGTTGAAAGGCACAGTTTGTGACGTTCTGGATCATGTACTCCTTCGCTGCATCTGAAAGGAGGGTCTGGTTCACTGGGAACTGGACGTGCCTTGAACGGAAGCCAGCGGAGTGGCATCTGGTTTCCAGATTCAGAGGCGGACTGGCCAGTCTCAGGAAGACAAAACCCTCCCATGAGGGAACAAGAACAACTAACCCAAGATTAGCGACAGCCTCCGCACCCCTCCAGGCTGGTTCAGTTGGCTTAAAGCACCCAGTTCCATGGCCCGTGGAAGAACAAGGCCCCCCATATTAACTTCTGTCCCTTCCTGGGGGTGAGTTGGCTTTTTTCTCATGATCTCTGTCTCCAGTGTTCCAGCATCTCCCCATGCCAACCTGGACACGACACACAGCTGCTCCAGCTGTTTGCCTGTGTGTCGTGATGCTCTGAGGGGCCCAGGCTGTGCCACCGAGGTTTTACAGAGCCTCCTGCACCGTGCGCCCCAATCTTGCCACCTCTTCCATTTTCACTTTCTCTTGTCTCCCCTTGTGATGGTTAATTTTGTATGACAACCTGGTTGGGCCGTGGTGCCCTGATATTCAGTTAAACATTACTCTGGATGTTCCTGTAAAGATGTTTTTTGGCTGAGATGAATGTTTAAGTTGCTGGACTTTGCGTAAAGCCCATGACCCTCCATAACATGGGTGAGCCTCACCCAATCAGTTGAAGACCTTTCTAGGACAGAGATTGACTTTCCCCGAGCAAGAAGGAGTTCCGCCAGCAGACGGCCTTTGGACTCAAACTGCAACTCCTCCCAGGTCTCCAGCCTGCTGGCCTGCCCTGCAGATTTTGGGCTTACCAATTTCCACAATTGCTTGATCTGATTACTGAAAATGAATCTCTCTCTCTCTCATCTATATATGTGATCTATACATCTTGTTGGTTCTGTTCCTTGGGAGGACCCTGACTAATAGGTCTCTGCTCCTCTCAGCTCCCGTGTATGATTTTGCAGGTTCTGTTCCACATGCTGACACTTCCCCCAACATGTCTGGCACCAGCATTTGGGAAGCCAGCCCTGGAGTTCCCACCCAATATTCATTCTCCTTCCTACTACCCAGCAGAGCCTGGGTTTTCTTTGCTGTGATAATGTGCCTGGCCCCACTTTCCCTTTCTTATTCCTTGAACATAAACTTGATGTGTGGAGCTGTGGCAGCCATATTACAGCCAGGAGGTGCCAGACCTGAGATGAAGGATCCACATACTAAGGAGTGTGAAACAGAAAGAGAGGAAGAGATGGTTCCTTGATGACATTTTCGAACTTCTACCCTAGATCTGGGCTGCCAGCTGCCAGACTCCTTGTCTTTATTCCTTAAGCACTATTCATGTATTTTCTGTGACTTGTAGTTGAAAGTATTCTAGGTTGATAAGGGTGTTCACTTTCTCTTTAAAATCAGGGAAATGTCCTGGCTTCAGTCTAAAGAGATGCAGCAGAAATGGCTCAGCCCTCAAGCCTTCCGGTCCTTGATAATATGAACTACCTGCCTTCCATGATAAAAATCTCACTGTATGTTGCAGGGACAGTAGCCATCCCCTGACTTCCTGAGCAGAGGAGCAATGACATCACCGGCTAGAGTCATCAAGGAGCAAGCAGCCCAGGCCACTTGAGGGACTGTCTTCCAGCATCACAGGGACAGAACTGGACCCCGATGGAGACATTCTTGGAATCCCTGGCAAAGGGTTCTGCTGGCAAAGGAGCTAGAACTCGATGGTCAGGCTTCAGTTCAGATGCTGGACCAACTTGCAGAGAGTATGGTTGGCCTCTGGTTCCTTCTTTGGCTAAAGAGTGATGGGTTTTGAAAGAGACTTTTGAACCTGAATTTCCAAGCACTAATGCTTGGCAGCACCAAATGCCTTGCATTTAGGAAGAAATTTGGCACCAGCACAATCGTGTAAATACAAAGAGAAGGAGGCCAGTGACCAGAGGAAAGTTGTCGGGATTGGAGTAAGGTAGTTTAAAGAAATAAAATGAGAATTATTAGAGATTGCTATCAAACTTCAAATCAGAAGGGAGGTAGAGATGAAGTACTTGTTAGGCGGATAATAAGATGACAAAGCTTCAAAATATGGCACTCACTGATCTTAATTACCGAGCTATCTGCTGGGTGTTTAATCAGTAGCACATGCACTATGCTAATTATTCCGGCTAATTTTGTTATAATGTAATTCTTTATCAACCCCGCTATGTATAAATTAGGAATTGAAATGTAACTAACTCAAATTATATTTAAGGCAACATGAATTTCTCTATTTCAGTGTGAAATCTTCTAATCTCTATTTCTTTATCTTTCCTTTACTGACTAGCTCATGTGACCCCCCACTGCCCACCCTGCCTCGGTCCCCAACAGGCTGCACCGTCATTTGAGGATGAAGGAACTCAGCACCAATATGTCCCCCTTAACCTCTTGGGAATCTTATATTTGATTTTCTCCTTCAGCGATTGCCCTTGAAAGGTGCAGAATATATTTAAGCAATCAATGGCAGACACATCCTGGCTTTCTCTGAGTCAGATAAAGGTCACTCTATTGTTCTATTTCACTTTTTAATAATCATAGGAGGGTGCCGTAGTTTACATATTTCCAGTGCTATATTGTATGTGACTTATGTCAAGTTATGTTTACAAATGTGTTTATAGGAGGACTAATAAGACAGATCCTCCTAGGGAAGCATAACATTATCTAGAATTTTTTACGTCATGTGGGTTTGCATTCAACGAGGCCAGGCTGGCACAGAAGTTTGGTGCAGCTGTGCAGAGCCCACGAGCGTGCCTTCAGAGACTGCCAGCCTTGGGACCTTTTCTCTAGCAGTACTTTCGGTCTGGAACTATTTTGCAGCGAGATAACAACGCCCGATGAGTGAATGGATACAGTGTGGATCCAATTTAGTTTCAGCACCGTGTTAGAATTAGACATCAGTGAGAGTAAGTTGCCAAAGAGGGTCACAGCCTGGAAGAAATGGCCAGTCCCAAGTACTCAGAGCTCATTGTGGCCTCAGGGTAAGGGACAAGCACTGGGCGTATCCAGATTAACTCCAGGTGATGGTGGCATAATTCTGTGAAATGGCTCCATTTCTGGGACCGATCTCTTCTTGGAGCCTGAAATGCCCCTGCTAGTTCCTGAGGTTCTGAAGAGCTGCTCCTTCAACACACGGGTTCCTCGTAAGGAGGCCCCTGGTGACTCTTGGCTCATAGCTCGCCTCCAGGTCCAGCTGCAGACCCCACCAGCTCTGGGTGGACCAGGGCTCCCTTCCCAGGCCATGGTGCTTCCGTCCATCTCTCTCCGTTCTCTCCTCTCTGCTTCCCGCAGTCTTATTCACGGCTCTCCTGCTTCCAGCTCCAGCAACACGGATACTTCTCCCTGTGGTCAGAAGCTTTTCAATTTGGCTGAAGATTCCTCTAAATTCCTTTTTAATGAGTCTCTCATAGCTTTTCAGCCTTGACAGTTCCAACCAAGACATTTGTGTGAATGTATTTACGGTGGTGTGGCGGGACTGGCTCGCCCATCAACCCACCGGGCTGTGGGGAGCCACTTTGTAAAGTGGCATTGTTATGTGATCATTACGGGCAGCTCTTTGTGCAAGGAGAAAACAGGGGCCCCTTTCATTTCCTTTGTGTTTTTGAAGACTTGAAACGACGCGACGGGATGTGGGCACCAGTTAGAATGGGATGAAAGCCGTTTACGACTCTTACAAGTTCTTTTCTTTTAGGAACCTGGTTTATGACAGCACCAGGACGGAGTTGTACAATAGGAGATGCAGACATTTTCCATTAATGTAGCCATCAAAGACAAAATAACAAACCAGCGAGTTTCATTCAATAAACACTTTTTGAGCCCTAGACTATGCCAGGCACTTCTCCATGTGTTGGGAGTATAGGGTACCCTACACTACGTACTGATCGTATAGTGTGTAATATACAACACACACTCTTCTAGAGCTGTTGTTTTCTCTCTCAACAATCCTGTGAGGCAGGTGCTATCATTGTCCCCATTTGGCAGATGGGGAAACCAAGAAGTGAAACAATTTGCTCGAGGTCGCACAGCTGCTGAGTGGAAGAGCTAAAATGCAAATGTGGGCAGCCTAATTGTGCTCTTTAGAACTATGTGGTCCTACTTCTCAGTGTCCAGCCCCACGGGGCTCCACTCTGCCCTCCCGTAGTCAAGTTTCTTCCTCTCTCTTCCTTTCTGATCTTTTGGTCTTTTTTGAGATGTGGCATTGTGAGAAAAGATGGGCAAGGAGTTGGAGGGGAGAAAAGAGGTGAGGGGCCAGGAGTAATTGAGGTATTTGGGGGAAAAAAAGTCTTGAGTGCTGCTATCACATATATGGGAACCGGATAAAGAAAGTCAATTACTTTGAAATGCTCTTCGGTTGCTGGATGGTGTTCCCCTAATCAAGACACTGTGTTGAGACTGGACCACCAGGGTCACGGCTTTTTAAGAGCGACACAGTTAATTACAGGTATCACTGCCATTGATTGGCGGTGACAGTGGATCATCCATCGAGCACATGATGTAAGCTGAGAAGTTAGCCTTCTGAGAATTAAACTTAAAATCAACCTGATGGGTCAAAGCAGACTGTGAAGTCACGTCAAGGATGCAGAAGAGCAGCGCAAGACAGTAATCTGCTTTCAAATTTTTAACTCCTCCCATCTCAGATAATCTTGGAAATAAGGGAAAAGGAGAAAAATGGAGAAAATCTATGTCAGTGGTTGAACTTAGGGCAGAGTGCATCACCATGGCAAAAATCTTGAGGAATTTTTTTGGGAAACAGGGAAGGCAAGATTGAGGAAGGGCTGACCAGCTCTGCAA